TATAAGAAAAACCCCCCCAAAAAAAAAAAAAAAAAAAAAAGAAAAGGAAAAAAAAAAAAAAAGATGCTGGGGCCAAAATTCAAACTGCAGTCACCCAGGTGGAATTCAGTTTCCTTAACCACTAGGACCACTACGGTACAGGCAGGTCTCCCAGGTTTCTCATTGTTAACAGGTATTACATTCCCGACCTCTGTCTCCTTCCGAAATTGCATCTGCTATATCTTTCTGGTCCTATTCGTCTTCCTCCTATTTGCTCATTAGATTGTCAGAAAAGTCATGACATATTTTTTCTATGCAAAAATACAACCAGCAGAACTTCTAAGTCTCGTTCCCATTGCGCTTCAGGAGTGGTACCCTCGGCAGGCAGACTCCTTGTAACGAGTGTGCTTACTTGTACCAAAGCCAAATGTATTTTCCCATAAAATAAAGTATTTTCATCCAGGTCAGGAATGTGGCCCATGTCAGACACACGATTCCAAAACTGTACATTGGGGGGAGGGCTACAAAGCATGGAAAAAATATGTATTATGAAAAAACTATTTACAGATTTTTTTAAAATTTGCACCAAAATAAATTCATACATTTTCCTCAAAACTCTCTGAAGCATCCTCATATTTTTAAGTTTACAGGGAGCCACTGCCCACACCTATTATGAAAATGGCAAAGACTAAATAATAGATGATCCCCCAATGCAGCTTACACACGGCTGCAAACCAAAAAAAAAACAAAAACAAAAGCTTCGAGTGACTTCTGTTTGTGTAGCGTGATTCCTCTTTGTCCAGAAAATCAAGTGCAAAACCCTCGACTTAACACTTCGGAGCTCCATAAACTCCCTTCCACTCCTCTCTCCAACTTTATTTTAATTTTGTATGTGTTTATGCTTGAGAACATGTACATGGGAAAGAGCGAGAGAGACAAGAAAGCAACCTCAACAGAGTCTTGTCAACTGCAGTCCCCTTTTCTCAGCCCTGCAAGTCTTCAGGAGTCTGGGTTTCTGCACACACTCAACATGTTTTCAAGCCAACCCAGGGATCTGAACCTGGAGTCAACCATATGGCTTTCAGCCTTGCATGGCACTGGCATTACCATTGTGCTATCGTGGCTGTGCCTTGCTCTTCAACT